CTCTCACTGTCTGTCTCTCTTTCTCTCTCTCGCTCGATCTCCTTCTCTCTGTCTCTTTCTGTGTCTGTCTGTCTCTTCCTGTCTCTGTCTGTCTCTTCCTGTCTCTGTCTGTCTCTGTCTTTGTCTCTCTCTCTCTCTCTCTCTGTGTGTGTGTGCGTGCGTGCGTGTGTGCGTGCGTGCCTTTCTCTATTTATATCATTCTCATTCCGTCTCTCCCTTCCTTCTTTTCTCTCTGCCCCCCTCTCTCTCTCACTGTCTCTCTATCTATCTGTATTTCATTCCCTCCACTTTATCTCCACCCTCTGCCTATATGTCTATCTGTCTGTTTGTCTGTCTGTCTGTCTGTCTGTCTGTCTGTCTGTCTGTCTGTCTGTCTGTCTGTCCGTCTGTCTGTCCGTCCCACTCTTACATGTACATCATGTATAAGAATAACTGCCCCCCTCCCCCCTCCTCTCCTGAGGTCGGTCAGCAGAGGCCAGTCGCCTGATGTCTGTGATTGCGCAACTGGCCTGGGCCGACATAGATCTAGACAGGAATGGGGCAGAAATCCAAAAGCAGATAAGCATTTTTGTTTTGTTCTTTTCTTTCTTTTTTTTTCTTTTCTTTCTTTTTTTTCTTTTTTTTCTTTTTTTTTCTTTTTTTTTTGCTCGCCTTTCTTGTAATATCTTTTCTCTCTACACGATTAACTGCCAATGGACACACATCTTTGTTTTTGAAAATACCTATTTTGTGTCTTTTAGGCATTACACTTCGAAGCAAAGTGTGTGTGTGTGTGCTTGTGTATGTGTGTGTGTGTGTGTGTGTGTGTGTGTGTGTGTGTGTGTGTGTGTGTGTGTGTGTGTACTGTGTTATGTACAAGAGTATAACTATAACCTACGTTGAAAGTACACTTACGTCGAATTGGCGACCGTTCCGTCCGAATAATCCAGTATTTTCCAGAAGGTTCTGATGGCTGGTCGGTGGGGGCTCTGGTGTGGTTTACTCCTTCTGTCCTATCAAAAATCCATCACCCCAATCTCTGCTCCTTCTTCCCTTTGTATGTTTCACTCTAGAAACACGTCTGATCTCCGGCACTTAAATATATATGGCTTTTGAGTGTTACAAGTGCTGTAAAACTCGTACTGAAACTAAACTTAAAAGGAGCCTAATGCTGACCTCCCTGGAGGCGTCTCGACAGTGCGAAGCCCTGCGCTGACTGTCACCCTATCGTGGTTCTGAATTTCGTTATATATATAATTATATGTAAACGCTTTGGGCCTCTGTGG